TGTTAAACTGGTCGGCTCGGAGTCAGTATACTGTGTGTGAGTGGGGTATTCGTGTTAAACTGGTCGGCTCGGAGTCAGCATACTGTGTGTGAGTGGGGTATTCGTGTTAAACTGGTCGGCTTGGGGTCAGTATACTGTGTTTGAGTGGGGTATTCGTGTTAAACTGGTCGGCTCGGAGTCAGCATACTGTGTGTGAGTGGGGTATTCGTGTTAAACTGGTCGGCTCGGGGTCAGTTTACTGTGTGAGTGGGGTATTCGTGTTAAACTGGTCGGCTCGGGGTCAGTATACTGTGTGTGAGTGGGGTATTCGTGTTAAACTGGTCGGCTCGGAGTCAGTATACTGTGTGTGAGTGGGGTATTCGTGTTAAACTGGTCGGCTCGGAGTCAGTATACTGTGTGAGTGGGGTATTCGTGTTAAACTGGTCGGCTCGGGGTCAGCATACTGTGTGAGTGGGGTATTCGTGTTAAACTGCATCATGGGATAGCACTATAAAATCGGCATTAGTCCCAACTAGTACATGCAGACACTAACTGGCGTACGTTTGATCCTGTGTATATGTCAGTTGTTTAACGCCACACTCTAATATCCCAGCTGGATGACGCCGGTCTGTGACGAAAGTCAAGTCTAGTCCAGACAAACCAGTGATTGATATCATCAACAACGTCACAGAGTCTGACAAGCCGATTCCTCAAGTCGCCTCTTACGACCAGCATCGCTGGATACCAATTCTAATCCAGAATCGCTGGGGATTACGTTATTATGAGATTCCTAGGTTTGCTTCATTTCTTAAACCATTGCTTCAACTCTGATATAATTGTATTGACAAGGGATGTTGTCAGGGAAACGCAATTTATTCAGCAACTGGGTGTATATTACTTGTTTCCAAAGTGAGGTAGGGGGCACGGGTGGCCCAGTCGTCTAAGGCGCCGCGATTCGCTGTGCAGAGTTGCGTCCCTTAGGCACGCCAGAAACCTATGATTGTGGGTTCCAGTCGCGGTTCGCCCCGATTATGTTTCTAGGTTTGTCAGCACCATACCCGTGCTCGTGGGTTTCACCGAAGTGGTAAACGTCTGAGACCTGCATCACTTCGGGCTTTCCTCCCACATTAAGCTGACACGCCGTGATATGACTGGAATACTGTTAAAAGCGGCGTTAAACCCAACTCACTCACTCACTCACTCCAAAGTGAGGTGAGCTGAAATGAGGTTTAACGTCGTGTTCAAGATCGTTGCACTTATACAGCCACGTGCATGCACGTATATGTGGCTGCTTGTACATGTCCGGGCGGACTTCGGTTTTATGGTGCTAGCCCACAGAGATACCATGCCGCAGTTTAACATGAATACCCCACTTAGACACAGTATACTGACTTCGAGCCGACCAGTCCTTGTTTTATCTAAATAATGCCCTGAGCCAGCCAGGGTAACAACAAGTACCGTTTTAACGTCTTGGTGTGACGCGGGTGGAGATCGAAGCACCAGCTGTCCCGGTAGGCGCACTGTCAACTACACCACAGAGGCGGTCAGATGTCTTCGGATTAACCCCTGGCATTCTGGGCAAATAAATACCAGCGATCATATAACAAAAGGTAAAATAGTTGGCGCAAATAGGGTTACAACAAGTACAATCCTTAAACGTGTTTTGGCATGACGCGGCCTGGGATCGAACCACCGACCTTCCGCTCCCCAGGCAGACACTCTATTCACTAGACCATGGGGGCGGTCCATGAACGTGACATTCCGACCAATGACTTTCATACAAGCCTATAATTCGTAATAACATTTATATATGTAAAGGGCGCTGACAACAACGACAATCATACCAATCCATCCTGTTTTTGTGTCAACAAATTCCTGGTGATTTGAAGCATAGCACACGCACAGTTCGTGAACGTGACATTAAAATGAAATTTAAAATCTGTGACTTTATATTTCAACATGCCCCGGGGAGGTTTTAAAGTTGGAAGATCGCCTTCCGTTCACATACACAGTGAGTGAGTATCGTTTTACGGCGTTTTTAGCAATATTCCAGCAATATCACGGCGGAGGACACATAAATAGGCATCACACATTGTACCGATGTCGGGAATCGAACCCGGGTCTTCAGCGTGACGAGTGAACACTTTAACCACTAGGCTACCCGACCGCCCCTCACACACACAGACTTCTGTAAAAGAACACCAAGTGTCATTCAACACTGATCTTAACCTTGACCTTTTGACCTTTGCTACAATTTTTTTTGTCAAAGCGGTCGGAGAATAACAGCCACCGTCAGTTTCCATTTTATAGTCTAGACAACTAATACATGTTTGTTTTTGTCAATTTGGATTCCGACAGCCCCCAGACTGGTTTTATTCAACTGTTAGGGAAAATAGGAGATTTGAATCAGTGAATCCCTGCGTCTTAAATTGGCGATCAGCTGCGTTACCCAGTGGACGGAATGTACCCATTATAAAAATAATGAAATAAATTGGTGTTTATCGTGAAAAGTATAAATGTTTTGGGTACGGAAGAAGTGTAACTGGTATTTACTGATATAAATACATGACTGGTTTTGTTTTTAATACGGTAGCAAATCAAAGGATTCTGTTTTTCATGTATTTCAAAACTATTAGCGTCAATCTCACTGTCATCCAGACATGCATTTCAAACCACAAATTACATTAGCATCGCTTCTTCATGTCGATCCACACTAATGATACCTTAACGTAACATTATTTGAAAAGAGTTTTCTGGAGTTTTTCCAACAAAACAAATTAATGGACAAACAAGTTCCGCTCAGATGGGCGCTCAGTTCGTTCGGGGGCGACTCCGGTAATGGACGTACGCTCATGCCACGTGCGGGGGGATTATCTCCGCACTATATTACACCGTGAGTGAGTGAGTGAGTGAGTGAGTGAGTGAGTGAGTGAGTGAGTGAGTGAGTGAGTGAGTGAGTGGGTGGGTGGGTGGGTGAGTGAGTGAGTGAGTGAGTGAGTGAGTGAGTGAGTGAGTGAGTGAGTGAGTGGGTTCACATGTCTGTCAACTTCTATATTCTTTCAATGCGATGTTGCGGTACAGATACTTGCACTCGGGCCTTCATATACTGAACCGCAAAAGAAACGTAACCCCAAGTAACATTTCATGAAAAGTTGTCATTTACATATCTGGGTAATTTACTCCGGGTAATCTGGGTAATTTTTGTCAAAGTTTCTAAAATTGAACATTACCTTGACCGGAAAAATGAAATTTGATGATAAAAAAACAAAGCAGATGACAATAAAACCGATCGCCCAAACGCATCACGGCAGCGGCCGTGGTAACCCGATGCACGTGAGTTCCGTGCAAATTGAATGCACATGCGTTCCCCCATTTCTTGCCCTATAAAAATCCACCCAGTTCGGATAACATTCATTCGTTATTGAATTGCTACCACATGCCAAGATTGACAAGAAATCAGCGACACCAAGCCCTTGGACGACGATTGCAAGCTGGACAAACCGCCCGGCAAGTAGCCAATGCATTTCAAGTCCACGTAAGGACCATATGGAGGCTCTAGCAATGGTACCAGACCACCAACACTACAGATGACGGACCACGTAGTGGAAGACAAAGGGTCACCACCCGACGTCAGGATCGTCAGGATCGTCAGATTGTGCGACAGCATCTTCAACATCGCTTTGTTACTGCTGCGCCAACTGCTCGACGGACCATGAGGACACACCGGCGACACACTAGTGCGGACACCGTCCGTCGACGATTGACGAGTAGACACCTCCACTGTCACAGGCCACGCCAAGGACCCATTCTGACACCACGTCATCGCCGGGACCGTCTTCCGTGGGCAACACAGCACCAGCATTGGCGCCACCATCAGTGGAGAAGAGTCCTCTTCTCAGACTAGAGCCGTTCCTGTATCTCAACAGCAGATTACAGAGAGAGAGAGAGTCTGGCGACGCCGTGGTGAACGTTTTTCGGATGCTTGTGTTGTTGAGAGAGACTCCTTTGGTGGTCCACACATCATGGTGTCGGGTGGAATTGTTCTTGCACAGGGTCGGCCCTTTAGTCTTCCAGAACATCGGTCCAGGGAGAGGCAATGGTGTCACAGCATCTCGGTTCATTGATCAACCCTTGAGACCACACGCCATACCTCATTTGGCACGTCGCCGCAACCACGAGTTTCAGCATGATAACGCCCGTGCCCACACTGCGAGAGCAGCAAGAGACTTCCTCCAGCAGAATGGCATCAAAACCATGCACTGGCCTGCCCTCAGTCCCGATTTAAATCCCATTGAGCACCTGTTGGACGAGATTCAAAGACGGCTGAATGACGTCCGACCAAGGCCGACAACTGCAGCTGAACTGCGTCAGGCGTTCCTCAGAGTGTGGGCTTTGGCCTTCATCAACCGCCTCATCCATTCCATGTATCGACGTTGCACGGCAGTTATCAATGCACATGGCGGACACACGATATACTGACTTGTGATACCATTTTATCAGAGACTAGTGTTGTGTTTCACTTTAAAAACATTTTACACTTTAATTTCAACCTTGAAGATCAGTTTTGCCAAGTTTCATCTTTTGAATATGTCTCAAAGTATGTTTACAGTGTTTGGACAAATGAGGTTTCTCATATATCTATCCATGGTGACGTTTCTTTTGCGGTTCAGTATATGATTCAGCAAGGACTTTAAACCCATGTCAACACACCATTGAAACGACACCCGATCGAAATCAATAATTTCAAACGCCTACATAATATTACCGAAGCTGTTTGAGAAACTTGTTGTTTTCCTTTTTTCTTGAAATGTCAATATTCTTGGTTGAAATGTCAAGATACATACGCTGAGATTTTAAGTTAAAAATTAAATTATCTTCTTGATAATTTAAAGTTCATTGTTCTGAAATTTCAACTTCGTATCTTGAAATTTAAACAAAAACAAAAAAACAAAACAAAAACAAATGGCCCTTAAAGTCTTCCGTTCTACATAGACACACACATACACAATATGTATACTCACATCCCAGGAGCATGGCGAATATTGAAAATATCTTCTCGGCGTTCGTATTTGGCGCCACATTTCCGAAGCCAATACTAGTCAAGCTGGTGAATGTGAAGTAGAGCGACGTGATGTATTTGGAGCGTATCGTCGGCCCGCTCAGGGAATCGTTCGGATAGTACGGCCTTTTCATTGTATCGGCAAGACCGTCCAACCAACTTATATGGGCGTGCAGGGTCGGCCGTTCCATGTTGGCGATAGCGTAGAAGATACACGCCAGCCAATGAGCGATGAGGGTAAAGGTCACCATGAGAAGCAAGAGTACGGCCGCTCCGTATTCGGCAAACTGCTCGATTCGTCGAACGACTCTAAGCAATCGTAACAAACGGGCCGTTTTCAGGATGCCAGTTGCTTTCATTGTCTGAAACATTAATAAATTGTTTATTAATAAGATAATTACAATATTCAAACTGCTTGCATATTTTATGTTCAACGTGTAATTTTCGTTCATATAGATTGGTTGATGCATGTCATAGATCCCAATTGTGTTGATCGATGCTCATGATATTAATCACTGGATTGTCTGGTCAAGACTCGATTATTTACAGACCGCCGTCATATAGCTGGAATATTGCTGAATTCGGCGTTAAACAACAAACCAATCATACTGATAATATTATTTTCAATGAATGCCAAACAGGTCCCGTTGCGACTTTCGTAAGACGGACGAAGCCAAGGTGTCATGTACCCAAATAATTGATGATCTGATGATCAGATGCACACAATGGCCGTTGTGTATTGGTAATATTTAGCTGAATATAAATGCTTTTTCACATTTAAGAAACATACAGCAGTATTCCATTGTAAATGCCATTTCTGAGGACCTAACCGCGATATTGCTGGAGTAGCGGCGTAAAACCTTCCTCACTCACTAAATGAAAACATACAGTTGACTAATCAGTAATTATAAAGTACAAGATGGTATTTACGGTGGCCCATAAGGGACATGGAGTCTGTTTTTCAATATTTTGATATTTCACTTACTGTTATCGTAGCCTTTTGCAAATTAACACGACTTGTCATACAAATATGTGATAAATCATGTATAAAGAAGATATTGAATCGCTGAAAAGTGAAGCGAAAATGTCAAAAACTAAAATGAAAAGGTCAAAAACAAAAACGAAAATGTCAAAAACAAAAGTGGTGGAAATAGTTTTCTGTATTTTCATATTAGTTTTTGACATTTTCGCTTTTGTTTTTGACTTTTCAATTTTAGTTTTTGACATTTTCGCTTTACATTTCAGCGATTCTATAGCTATTTGAAAGTACATTTTCCATGTTTTCGGTTGTTTTTATACATGATTTATCACATATTTGTATGACAAATTGTGTTAATTTGCAAAAGGTTACCATAAAAGTAAGTGAAATATCAAAAATGGGACTCCATGTCCCTTATGGGCCACCGTAGGTATTCGTGCATCATGTCTGGCTACATGTTCAGTCTAACTTGTTTCCCCAAGCAAAAACAAGCAGAGATTTCCCCCATGGAACAGATTTGTATTTTCTGATGAAATCCGATACCACAGGTGGACATATCATCTCCGCAAAAATCACAATGTGTCAATCAAGTCAAAGTCAAAGTCAAAGATGTTTATTGTATCAAAGGCCATCGGCCCATATACAAGTTCAGATAAATACAGTGGGTGAGAATTTACAGATTGGGAGATACAACAAAAATTATATAAATATAACATTCATTTAACAATCGGTGATAATCATGAGGACTTTCTAGGGTGAGGTAATTAAAATTATGAATTTCCACTCAACATGTTATTTCGTAGTTCCATCCCATGTTTTACAAATAAAGACAGTTTAAACATTACATCGGCATCATTCGATGACAAAATAGAAACAAAAGCTATTCTACTTGTCTTAGATAAGAAACATTCTGGTATATATTTAGTACGTAATTCTGCATAATAAGGACATTCAAAGGTAAAATGTATTTCGTCTTCTATTGCAGAGTTACAGAATGGACAAATTCTTTGTATTCTTTCAAGTGATATATTCCGTCCATAGTTAATCATAAGTTTTGACAAGCCAAGTCTGTATTTAATATATCCATTTCTTAGGTGACTATTTGTTAAAACTGATAGATATTTTTCTGGCTCTAATAGAGTCTTAAATGTTCTGTACAAATCATAACGTGAACTATTTTCCAAGTTGCATTGCCACCCTTGATAGAACATATTTATTGCTATTTTACGAAAATCATTTAGAAATAAATGTTGATCACCAACAGATTGGTTAAGCCATATATACCCATATCCATGTGAGAATAATAGTGTCCTAATATGCGATACCCATGTAACCTTACCGATACTATCTAAATGAAAGAGCATGTTATAAGCTTTTTTCGGAAGCCGATGTTCTGGCATACGGATGATATTAAACCAATATTTTAAACACTTTATTTGTGAATTAATGTAAAGTGGGTATCTTCCACATTCTCCATATATCATATTATTTGGTGTTGCTATTCCAACGCGAAGAAACTTTTTACATGCCAGTAGGTGAATTCTTTCTAAACATTCATATCTTCGGTAACCCCACACTTCAGATCCATACAATAAAATTGGCTGTATTTGAGTATCAAATAATTTGAAAAATACTTTTGGAGTAATAACTCCAAGTTTATGTGAAACAGACATTATATTAAGTAAAGCTCGTTTCCCTCGCAGTGATAAGTCAGATACACATTTGTTCATATTTAGTGTTGAATTAAACATTATGCCGAGATACTTATAACCATTAACTACATTAATTTGTTGTCCATTTAAGTACCATCTTTCCCTAAAATTTAAAGGACCCCCTTTTCTGAATACTATAATTTCTGTCTTATCTAAATTTACAGATAAATTCCATTCCTTAGTATATTTATCTAATACATTCAACTGATTCTGTAGACCAATAACAGTGTCAGATAGTAAAATAACATCATCGGCAAAAAGGAGCATAAGAAGTTCAAGGATGTCAGGATACATCTGTATACCATGCTTGCCGTTACTTGAGATTTCATAATATAATTCGCTTATGAAAAACGAAAATAACAGAGGACTCAGTATACATCCCTGACGTAAACCAGATGGGCAATCGATAAAATCAGTAACACCATAATCACTACGTACACATGACTTGATATTTGAATACATTGATTGTATTATATTAAACATCTTCCCTTGTAGTCCAGCTTTTCTTAAACAACACCATAATTTATAACGATCAACTGTATCAAATGCCTTTTTAAAATCAATAAAAGCAACGTAAACCTTGTGTTTACGACGTGTTAGACATTTTTGAATTGCAGCATATAATGTAAAAATATGATCTACGGTTGAATAATTTTTTCTAAAACCAGCTTGAACTTCCGGTATCTTATCTCTCATATTTGCCCAGTTAGTAAGCCTGTTATTCAAAACAGAGGTAAAAATTTTCCCCAGAACACTCATTAATGAGATCCCCCTGTAGTTGTCAGGGTTTCTCGGATCGCCTTTTTTATGTAGAGGGACTATTTCTGAACAAGACCAACTGTTTGGAAATATTTGATTATCAAAGAGTTTGTTGAAACATTTATGAAGAAATGGCATAATATCTAATTGGGAACATTTAAGCATTTCTATCAGCACTTGATCGGGCCCGGCGGATTTTCCTTTTTTTAACTTATTTATTGATGATGTAATTTCATGTTCAGTTATCGTAGAATTTAGTATGAATGCATCAATATCTGTAAACTGATTAGAACTGAGTTCATTTTCATCATCTAAGTGAGGAGAAAAAACATTGTCATTTGCAAAAACCTCTCTAAAATGGCACAGCCATTCTGCTTTCGTTATATGATTCTTCTGTCTGGGTTTGTTTTGTAATGATCTTATCTGTTTCCAAAAGCTAGATTGACTATTTATGCTTCTATGCAATCTTTCAACTGATTTCTTACGTGAAATGGATTTAAATTTTCTGCAACAAAATTTATAATGATTTCTTTGTCTACAGTACACAATTCTGTTAGCGACTGTTCTTTGTGTTCTAAATCTCCTAAGTGCCCTACGTGTTTCTCGTTTCGCTTGTCTACATTCTAGACTTAGTGGTTTGTGATTGGCAAATTGTGGATTATGTCGTATTGTCTTTTTCATGCAGTTAGCAGAGTCTAATACAATGTCGACAAAGTGGCTAATTGCGTTTTCAATAGCATTATCAATTTCTTTAAGGACCATTTCTTTGTTTTCAGTAAAATTATATCTCAGGTTATCAAGAAACAAACTGGAGTAATGATCATTCCATACAATTTTCTCTGATGCTTGTGGATCCATACATGAATCATTATTGCACCTCTTACCCATATTTGGAAATCTACACATCAATTCTAATGGAAAGTGATCAGAATCAGATCGATCACCGACAGTGAACATATTGATAAACTGAAAAAAATCTGGTGAACTTATAAAATAATCGTTCACACTAGATCCATGTTGGCTACGTCCCTATGTAAATATGCCAATATGTTTATAGACGTTGAAGTATTCAATGATTGAAGCATTTACTGTACAGTGTATTCCTGTGTTCTATGATTGAAGCATTTACTGTACAGTGTATTCATGTGTTCTATGATTGAAGCATTTACTGTACAGTGTATTCCTGTGTTCTATGATTGAAGCATTTACTGTACAGTGTATTCATGTGTTTTATGATTGAAGCATTTACTGTACAGCGTATTCCTGTGTTCTATGATTGAGCTAATTACTGAACAGTGTATTCCTGTGTTCTATGATTGAAGCATTTACTGTACAGTGTATTCCTGTGTTCTGTGATTGAATCATTTACTGTACAGTGTATTCCTGTGTTCTATGATTGAAGCATTTACTGTACAGTGTATTCCTGTGTTCTGTGATTGAAGCATTTACTGTACAGTGTATTCCTGTGTTCTATGATTGAAGCATTTACTGTACAGTGTATTCATGTGTTCTATGATTGAAGCATTTACTGTACAGTGTATTCCTGTGTTCTGTGATTGAAGCATTTACTGTACAGTGTATTCCTGTGTTCTGTGATTGAAGCATTCACTGCGCACAATGTTCTCATGTGTTCCATGATTGAAGCATTTACTGTGCAGTGTACTCCTGTGTTCCACGATTGAAGCAAGAACAGTTCGCAATGCATCCACTGACATCGTGGGAGGATTCAGATGTAACAAATTCTGATTTGCCAATGTTCAGCCGACGTTTCCACACAAAAAGCAATCATCGCGACCACAGCGAGCTGCGTAATTTACCGTTATTACTATCAGCATGACATGATCGCCAGCGTCCCTCGGGGTAATGAAGCGTGACCCATCAGTCAGATTATCATCTCGAGATACTCACAATT